GTCAAGGTCATCAAAAATGTGTTCTTGTAGGCTTCCTGTCCTGGAATTCAGATCACCGAGAATGAGAACATGCCCTTGATTATTAAATTTTACTAGATCTGTCATTAAGTCTTCAAATATTGAGTTCTTATTTGTGGCGAATAATGGTGAATTTTCAGGGGGTAAGTATAGACATCCCAGTATCTGCGTCCAAGCCAAAGAAATTTTTGTCAAGCTTGCACCAGAGGATGTCAGAATTATTACTTGGTAGTTTGGAAATACCTTTTGCCATCGTCTGTTTAAATAGGAGAGCGACCCCGCCGGAGTTTCGTCTGGATCGCTTCCGAAGTTTACGGTCACTCCGAAAGTGTTGGTATCCATTTATATGAAAGCTATCACCGGGCTTTAGCCAAGTTTCCTGCACACAAACTATATCATTACTACAAATAGTTTCTAAGAAATCTACTTCTAAACATTTTCTAGCAAAACTACCTTGAATGTTCCAACTGGTTAAGCGTAAGGCCACTTCATTAGCCATAACAAACACTAGGAGAGAAAGTGCTAAGAATGATAAGAGCAATTACAAATGCTGCCTTAACACATTAATATGTATGTTGTATAACGTTATAGCAAGTAAGTACTGGTACCTTATAATGTCAAGTATAAAAATACTTCAATGTAATGCTGTTTCTATAATTTGACATAACTAGATGACTTATATCTAATGTAATTTTATCAGTAAAACAAATACGAAAGTCACTTCCCTGTGAGGATGATGTCACTTGTCCGCATGTATACTAGTCCGCATGTGTTTTACTAGTCCGCATGTGCTTTACTTGTCCACGGTTTTAACTGTCATAGTGTTGTTGGTTTGTCCGTGTGTATTTAAAAGTTAGACAGTAGTTCTGACAGTTTGTAGGCCAAGTTGATTATCTTCTCTTCCAGCATCTGTGGTTTATATGTTTGGAGCTTTAGTGCCCCCTGATTCCTTCCTAAATGACATTAACTCTATGTTTTATAAGTTTTTATGGAAGAAAGATAAAGTAAAGCGACATGTACTGATTCAAGACTATTCACTAGGAGGCTTAAAGATGATAGATATAAGAATTACTCATAAGACTTGTCTCTTGAACTGAATTAAAAAAATTATTGTTAGATAATGATCTTCATACTCCTGTTTGGAAAAGATCCAACTTAGTTACCTTAATAAATTTGGATCGCATCTTAGTATATACTTATGTGCAATTGCGATGAAAAACAGATACAGTTACAATCGTTACCTATGTTTTATCAGAAAATGTTGAAAACGTGGTACGAGGTGAAACCTACTAAACCAATAGATGATATAACAGAAGTGCCTTGGCAGTTCCTATGGAATAATAGATGTATTATGTTTAAGGGTAGAATGCTGTATGTTCATAATCGGATTAGCAAAAACATATTGCATGTTAACCTTATCTAGACCGGGCTCTTTTTGGGCGTTGGTGGGACCGGGGGGGGGCTCATTGCCCCCCCCCCCAGAACTCAAGAACGGTATATCGTAGGACCAACAAATTTTTAGAGGATGATGTACTAGTAAAAATTTATCATACGTACAATTTTCATGTCGTTGTGACGTAATATGACGTCATTATGACGTCATTAATGTGATTTTATTGGCCCAAACCGTCTAGATAGGTTATTCCCTGAAAACTAAACAGTATACGACATAACTTTACCAAAAGTGTTTATGACAGAATATTAGGATGTACTAAGTCTTATGTTGCCCATAGCACCGGTGACGTCATAAAATGACGTCATGCATATATTACATATCCGCCATCTTGGATCATCAATCTTGAATTTCGAAAAAGTTTTTTTTTCAGGATGAAGCCTAAAATACATTGTAAACAGACTAAAGACATTCATATGAACCTTTTTTGTAAAAAAAAAATGGGAGTATTGATGAAATTTTAAGGAAAATAAGCTGCATTTACCTGATCTAATGATATGGTCCACCATCTTGGATTTTGGCCAATGACGTCATCAAATAAGCATAAATTATGCATTTTTAATGATAAGGTTTACATATAATTATATGTGATGTTATTAATGTTAGAAACAATGTGTAACTTGACATAAAACCCATAAAATTCTGTTGTTTAAATGGAAATAATTAAATTTGGCAAAAATGCCTGTCAGAAACCCGTTGCCATGGCAACAAGAAAAATCATAATCTTATTTCACTGATACAGATTTGTTGCCAAAAAATATTTTAGGAAAAGTCACCAAATTTGGCGGTTCTAGCTTTAGCCGTTCAGACGCTACTTACTTACTTAGTTCGAGCTCCCGCTCGAACCAATCCTGAGAGTTGTCTCCAAAGCACTTTGTCCTCCATGGCCTTCTTTATCTCCCTGGTGTCCTGTAAGTTGGTGTCTTTGCGCAGATTATCCAGGAATGTTACTCTGGGTCTCCCTCTGCTCCGTTTTCCTTTTAACGGTTCCCACAGAACGAGACTTGATGCCAGGATGTCCGGGTGTCTAATGCAGTGACCGGCGATTTTCATCCTGCGTTCTCGTATTTTGTCTGTGACAGCAGGTAGATCCTGGTACAACTGTTGGTTTGTAAGTTTGAGTTGCCATGGAATGTTTAGGCACATTCGTAACATTCGGGTATAACAGCCGTTCAGCCTTTTTTTCGAGTGATTTGGTCAGGGACCACGTTTCGGATCCATATAAGAGAATGGACCTAAACTGTGGCAATAAACAGCCTTTGTTTGATTTTACGTGGTAGATTAGACTTCCAAATCTTGCTTAGCTTATGACAGCTTTTCCACGCTAATGCTTTTCTGACCTCAAAATCTGTTTCTGCGTCTTTCATCCAGGATCCAAGATATTTAAAGTTCTTAACTACTTCGACAGTGTCGCCACTTTTAGTTTTAATAATGACTGGATCTTTCTGATTAAACGCCATAAGTTTTGTTTTGCCGGCGTTTAGCTGGAGCCCGACTTTAGCAGCTTCGTTTTCCATACGGCATAGGAGTTCTTGTGCCTGTGCTATTTTCTCGGCTAAAAGTGCTATGTCATCTGCGAAGTCGAAATCGCTTATGACGACTGGTGGGTGACGCCTACTTTTTCGTCTTTCTAGCTCAAAGCCCAGCTCATATTCGCGATCTCCGATAGTTTGTCGCATGACATAATCTACGACAATAACAAAGAGATATGGTGCCAAGGTATCTCCTTGTAGGACACCAGCAGTGATATTGAATAACTCAGTTTCACCTTCTGGAGTAATCACTTTTGCCCGAGTATCTTGGTATAGAAGATTGATAGCATTTATTAGTGTGCCAGGAATCCCATAGGCCCTGAGGATTTCCATCATTTTCCCTCGGTGAACACTGTCAAATGCTTTGCGGAAATCCACAAATATGATGATTGCTTCAAGATTGTGGTTGAGCACATCTTCTATCAGCCTCCGGAGGGCAAGAATGTGAGAAGTTGTGGATCGCCCTGGGCGGAAACCATTCTGGTTAGGTCTCAGTATATTTTCAACTGCAGGCTGTATGCGATTTAAAATCATTTTGTTTGCGATCTTTGCTGCAATGTTTGTAAGCATGATGCCCCTGTAGTTGGTATAATCCCGTAAGTCTCCAGATTTTGGTATTGGTACAATGTTCCCAATAGACCTAGGTAACATCAAAGTTGCCGCGGGCACTTTAAGCCCCCCCCCCCGGTCTAGATAGGGTTAAGGATGTGATAGACTGTCAAGGTAATTTTATTTCTTTCAATGATTTGAAATGTATTGTAAGTAGCCATCCGCACTTGATGTTTCAGTACAGTGCATTATTTAATGCGTTACCGCCGTCATGGAGGGGTGTCCCCCATTCACCTACCGAGATACCAAAAACTCATTTGTTTGGAAATCTACTCACAGGGCAGCACTGTCTTTAGCAATATTTTGACCTTACAGAAAGTTGCCAAACCCACCGGGCAAGGCTTTTGGGAGAATCGGTTAACACTTTTTGACTTTCAAACAATTACGTGGAAAACTATTTACAAGTCCTTATTTTTCTTAACTAAGGAACCCAGAATCCAGACTCTACAATGGAAGATATTACTAATCATATATCCTACCAGAGTTAAGTTACATAAATTAGGTCTTTCTGACAATGATAAATGTCAGTCATGCCATGCTGTTGATTATGTTGAACACTTCCTGTTTGAATGTAAGGTTGTTAAACCGCTGTGGTTAGAAGTGGAAAAACGATACTGTACTAAATATGGAGGTAGGTTACTGTTAGCCATTCACGATGTAATAATACTGTAGGTTATGAGCTAAACAACATGAAAAAATTTTGTTACGTCAACCAATTAATACTTCTAGCGAAATATACAATTTGTAAATATAAGTTCTGAACATATATGGGAAACATTGTTGCTTTGTTTGACTACGAATGTACCTTACTAGGTACTTGTTGTAACATATTCCACAAGCTAATAAAGTGCCGTGATACGGACACGGAAGTTAAAAAAAAAGATGTCCAAGATCAAGTCCTTAAAGAACTCCTTCTCCGCCAGTGGCCTAAGCTGTTGCAACATGGCTGCATATTCCCCTGCTTTTGCGTGATTTTCCTGTTTCGCCGTTACGGACAGCGTCTCCAGGAGACCCAGCCCTCTCCTCCCGTCGAATGCAGAGGACTCAATAACATCATTTGCAAGTGTCAGAAGTATATAGATAGAATATCAAGCCAAGTTCAAATAGTACGCAACGCAGACAGTCTAACCTGCCAAGTAGCACCTACTGATGTGAGATACATGTAGATGACGTGGAGGGCACAGAAGAAATCACTAGTGAGCCTCAGGGAGTCATGTATAGTAATGCAGATAATGAAACAAGTCTACAGGGTGACGAGACCAGCACGAGTGAAAACATGCCAATATACTACTGGAGGAAAACTAGGTGTCACAAGAGGACTATGTGTAAATTAATTGATATATCCAAATGGATCAGCACTCAGTACTGATAGAATATTGTGATATTACTGGTGTCAAAATCAGTCACTACCAGCTGTCCGCCGGGGGCTACTGCCACGCCACCAGCTCTACTGGTAACAACGCGACGCACGTACCGCCCGTCTTCTGTAAACATGTCTACCGCCCCGCCTGACCGGACCAGCAGAACGTTTCCTGAACCGTCTGTACAGATTCCCGTGACTTCGTCTGCCTCATTCTCGTCAGTTTCTGTTATACCTTCTCCGATTTCTGTCTTACCCAGGTCGATTACTGTCCGACCCTCGCCTATTCCAGCCAGCCCCGGGCCGATTTCTGTTGAACCCAGGCCGATTTCTGCCCGACCCTCATCGATGTCGTTACACCCAAAGCTGTAAAGGTACTGACTCCTGTTGTTATAGACATGGACACGTGCATCTCCAATACTGTCGGACACAAACAGGTTTCCCTCCCGTCCCACAGCGACCACCCCAGGGTACCCCGAACCTTGCTGCACCCGAAACTTGTGCTCAACAGTACCATTGAAATGCAGAAGCTTGACTTCCCCATAACCCCACCAGTACTCTGTCGCTACCACAAGATTACGAAGTGTGTCCACAGTCATGCCGGAGAAAGAATTATTGCTGAACGTTGCGCGGAGTGTTGTTAGGAGACTTCCAAGTTTAGTGTAACGAACAATAATCCCTGACATTCTGTCCGCATACCCAACTACCCACACATGACCCTGACCGTCGATGGAGATGTCATCGGGTTCCATCGTCTCGGAGTTTTCCCCCGAGATGACGGTGGGGAAACGGCGGAGGTACATGCCCTTCATGCTGAAGACTTGAACCTGCCTGTTGTAGGTGTCCGCCACGAATATTTCGTTGCCAGGCGATACTGCGACAGCCTCCACTTCGGAACAATCAGAAAATTCTTCACAGTTCAGTCGAAAGACGATCGTCTTTTGTTGTAGGTCTTTGTTTTCGTTCTCTGGTAACAATTAAAAAGAACATTTATACTACACCTTACAAATTCAAAACATTTAAATTGCCATACTACATCTCGCCTTAGAAGTAAAATGTCGAATGAAACATGTAACATAATGATTGTTGTGATTTGTAAGTCATGTATATGACCAGGAAAGATATGGTTTTATTAAAACACGATGTATTCATTCATGATAATTTATAATACTCAGTGACAGATCTTGATAAAGGCAATGCTTAGATATTATGCCTGAATCTATCTGGTAGTTTCACTGTTAACAAAGACACTGTTAACTGAAGCTAATTTAACCAACTAGCCAAGTGAGGTTAACATAACGAAGAATCACCCTTGATGTCTGGTTGTGGAGGCGATGTGTAGTTTGTATACTGGATTACGTTAGTTGGAGTCTTGACTTCAAAACTTGTGTTCATCCAATTAGTCTGAGTATGGAAAAGAACAAAATAGTCTTTAGTAATAAACAACTACAGATGTAAACAAGTTAAATATAATAAACAAAAAAAAAATAAATGAAAAATTGTTCTCCAAAATATTAGTCTATTAATTTTAACGTACAAGAAAACGTACCGTTTGCATGTAGCTGCCTTGCTTCGCTGGGACGTAGATTGAGATGATAAGCGCTGTTATAACCGCTAGCGTCGCCACGATCAAGCCTTTAATAATGGCACCCACCAGACAAGATTGAGACACCACACAACTCTGACCTGGAAAGCAACAATAAAGAGAAAACTGAATTCAAACATGACCATCAGGGCAACTGCATACCATTTGTCTCTACGGACATTTTATGATGGTAATTTAAACAAGTGCTTTTGCAAAAGCTGCCATTTTCGCAGCAAATTTTTTATGAAAAGGCTTACAGTTTTTACGAACTGGTGGATGGCAACAAAATCAGTGTCAGATATAGTGATTAGTCTCTGCAATATATTTACACAAATATGAGTAATGTTATTATAGTCATGTACATATAAGAATTATAAACTTTAGACATAATAGACTAGTTCACATGTCATTACCGGTAAACTTATCATTACTTTTTTTACCATCAGTATCATATTTATTTCTTAACAGTTTTAGTAGGATCCGTACTTCTGTGGTGCAGGTACAATTTGTATGGAATAGGTAATTTTCAATGTTACATGCACCAGTTCAGGTATGCAAAAAAAATGTATTTCGAGCCCTGAGTGCATTCACTATGTTTAGTTCCATAATTTACCAACATGGCTAGCAGACGACATGCCCCCCTCCCACCATTACGAAGTTGTTTACATCATGTATATCCTCACTCCGATAGAAAACTAATGCATGGAATAAAAGGTGACTACTGTGATTGAATCTCCTCTATGTTTTGTGGAAACCAAATTCAAATAAAGTTTGAGCCGAGATACATGTATTTATGTCAAAAGACGAGATGACGAGGCCTCCCCATCCCTACTACTACTAGTATGAGTGCTTACGTACGGCCGGCTTTGTTTACATCATGTAAAGAGCCACGCCGATGGAAAACTACACCATGGAATAAAACGTAACTACTGTGGTGCGATCTCCATTTTATAGGCTTCCCCTTAGTGGAAACAAAATTAAAATTGGTCAAGTTTGAACCGAGATATGGAAAGCTGAAAATCTAGACTAAGCCACACTGCCAATGCTCATTGACATAATTTATGCAGTTTATTAAAATCCTTGATGACTGTGATTATAAACATGTTTTATCAACATTTTTGGCAAATGATAAAATCAACTTATTATTTAAGACAAATAAGGTTTGTTTTGTCAGCAGCTTTGCTATGCGACATTATTATAACCATGATTTTGAAATTAAAACCCGCAATAGAAAGTATACAAACTTCCAAGGCATGGATAAATGTTCTAACATGGTCTTGCTGTGTCTGTTCACCCACCCATGGATGCATCCATCCACCCAGTACACACAGACGTGTCTGTGTGTACTCCGGTATGCTT